ATCTCTACTGGAAATACCTCGCCTGATGCATCCCAAGACCGCATTAGCTTTTTTCACAGCCATATCACATTGGCGGCTCATAGTCATCCTGTGATCAATCAATACACTCAGATCTTTCTCCTCTTCTGTCACTTCCAACTGATACGTTCCCAGCTTATAGCAAAAATTCTTGTTGTTAGTCTCTACATGCATGACCTTGCACTTTGCGCTATTAAATTTCATCCCATTTCTGTTACTCCAGTTTACAAGGTCATCCAGGTCTTCTTGTATGATATTCTGGTCTTCCTCCGTATTGGCAATACCTCCCAACTTTGTGTCATCCACAAATTTTATTAGCACACTCCCACTTTTAGTGCCATGGTCAGGAATAAAAATGTTAAATATGTTGGTCCCAAGACTGATCCCTGAGGAACTCCACTAGTAACCTCCCTCCAGCCTCACAGTTCATCTTTCAGTATGGCTCGTTGTAGTCTTCCCTTTAACCAATTACTTATCCACCTTTCAATTCTCATATTAATCCCCATCTTCTCCAATTTAACTAATAATTTCCCATGTGGAATTGTATCAAATGCCTTCCTGAAATCCAGGTAGATTGCCTTTGTCTAAAAACACAGGCTAGTCTGGCATGATCTACTTTTTGTAAAACCATGTTGTATTTTATCCCATTACCATTAATCTCTATTTTCTTAACTTAACTTTCTCTTTCAAAATGTGTTCCAAGACCTTGCATACAACTGAAGTCAAACTAACAGGCCTGTAGTTTCTTCCCCCTTTTTTAAAAATAAGAACTATATTAGAGATTCTCCAGTCATAGAGTACAACCCCTGAGTTTACAGATTCATTACAAATCCTTGCAATTGGGCTTGCAATTTTATGTGCTAGCTCCTTTACTATGCTTGGGTGAAGATTATCTATGACTGGCCTAGAGAAGGAGTATCTGGTCTCCCTGTGTCATAACAAAAAAACGAGGGGACATAGAAAGAAATGGCAAGATGGCAAATTCTAAAGTGATAAGATTTTTTTTTTCACATGGAACAGCTTGTGGAACTCATTGCCATTGGCTGGCATTGAGGCCAAGAAATCAAAGAGGGCTTGGACATTGCTATGGGTAATGAGACTTCTGGATATATAATAGCTAATGCTAAAAAAAAGCACTAAAATCAATGGGAATTTGGGGCATAGGTGCTTCAGAAAATCCCACTAGGTCAATGATCCCCAAACTATGGGCCATGGAGGAACATTCAGGGGGCACGCAGTGGGGCGCAGGCCGGGGCATGCAGTGGGGCCCAGGCCAGTCCCCACCGGGGAGGGATCGCCACCCAGACCCACTCTGCCCCCAGCTCTGTCCCCAGCCCAGCTCCACTCCACTCTGTGCCCCACCCCCAGCCCAAGCTCCACTCCGGCCCCTGCTGCACCCCCGTGCTCTCATTCTCTCTCCGCCCCAGGCCAGCTCTGCCTCTAGCTCCAGCTCCTCCCCCATCCCAAGTTCTGCCTCCAGCTCCGCCTCCAGCTCCAGCTCCTCTGCTTAGCCAACTGTGCAATAATGGAGGGGTGTGTGGACAGATTCCATACTGGTAAGGGGGGGAGGATGCGACAGGAAAAGTTTGGGCACCACTGCATTACAGTCAGTATCTGATCATTGCCTTTTTTTGCTGCCTTATTGTCTTGTAAATAACTACTACCTAATTTGCTGTCTACTCTCACCCTTAACTCTTTCATTATGACAGCTTCCCAGGGTGCTACCTACCCTGAATTACCCTGGCAAGTTTAATTAACTTAATGTTTACTCCCTGCTTCTAGATCACCAGTAGAGGTGTTAAATTAAGCTGGTACCAACAGTGATCTCTGAGACATCTCCCCAGAGATCTCCCACGCACTCATGAGCCAGCTGGTATCTAACCAACCTAATTATGTGAAGGAGACTCAGCTCCAGGTTCTCGCATGGCATCCTACAAGCTACCCATAGACTGTATTGGTCTTTATGAAGAAAGTAGCACTTTAAATACCTGTAACATTTCAACTCCTATTAAACCAAACTCTTTTTCTGTTACTACTTTCCAGCCACTGTCTTCCCAGGTTGACTTGCATTTGCAGTTCTGTGCCCCAAGTAGAGTCATTTTCTTTTTATTAACTGGCCCAGATTTTCACTGCTCCTCATGCAGGGGAGCGAGGAGGTGTAAGGCCCCACCCCACCCGTTGGCAGCACCTGGGCAGATTGCAGGAACAAGCTTAGGGCTGAGAGCAGGTTCAGCAGTGAAATGGAGGGGGTAGCGTGTTGTTTTTGCCCCCCTCACTATGCCAGCATGGCTGGCACAAGGTAAGGAGCACCCTGCTGAACACCTGCTCTGGGTCAGTTCCAGGTGCATTGAGAGGTAGGGGCACAAAGGGCTGGATTCACAAAAGGACTTATGAACCTAACTGCCACTTTAGGTGCCTAAATCCCAGAATCAGGCCCACTGGGATTCACAAAGCCCTTGCTCAGCTGCCGCCGAACCCTGTAGGTACATAAACTCCCTCGGCACCTACACGTTTGCAGTAAAAGTTTGCTCGGGGGCTATTTTTCTGCCCGTGAGCATGCGTGCGGCTGCCTCCCTCCATGTTTCCAGAAACAGGTGCTTCTCGATCTAACTCACCTGTGAACTGGTGTGCTCAGAGCTCGCCTACCAGAGCAGACCCCCCATACGTGAACAGACACAAAATAGCTGGGGAAGGAGGATGTCCCTCGTAGCTTTTAGCCCCGTGGGGAGGGTACTCTCTGGGATGGGGAAGACCCCTGTTTATCCCCCTCAGCCGTAGGCATCTAATGCCAAGTAAGGATTTTGCAGATGAGAATTCCAAGCAGAGGGAGGTGCCAAACTCCCAGAGAGGATGTTCTCACCTTGGCAACTCCCATTGACTAGCTGAGGCAGGGAGCCACCTCCCATGCTGGCTTTTGGGGATCCCATTCTGAGGTGCCTCTCTCTCCCTTTCCAGTGTGCAGGGAGCCCAGGCACTGAACTCAAATGTTGTGAGTCCCAGTGATTGTCTAGGCCCCTGCACATCACCACCCCTAAGTTCCTTTGTGACTCTAGCGATAAGCAATGGTTGGGGGAGATGGGTGAGCAGCAATTGACCGGTTAGTGGGGAAGGGGAGTTTGTGCAGCTCCATGTGATGTTCCTCGCTAGTAAGAAAAGGTCACGATTGTCCTCACTTGAATCTCACTAGTGAGGAACCACACACAAAACCTGGCAGCTATGGGAATTTCTCTACAAGTCACGGGAATATCAATCGCCCCATTTTCCAGCTGCTAATGCAGACAATGATTATTTCCTTATGTTATGAGACATAAACAATGTTTGTTGCCACAGTGTGAGGGTAACTGCCCCTGTATCCCCCCCTCTGTGGCCCATTCCAGGAGTGCCCAGTCAGGTCTCAGGTCTCCAGGTGTCACCTGTCTCTGGGCAGGGAGTGTTGCCTCACTCCCTTCTGACTGCACAGCTCCCTGCCTTACCCAAGGACATCCCCAGTCTGCCTAACAGCCAGCGCTTGTGCATGGCTTTGTCTCCGAGGGCTCTGCACAGCGAATTGCCAGCCGTTACAAGTTACCGCACCGCTCTTTCTAAGCAAGCACGTTTATTCTTAAGGTAAAAAATATCACAGAAAAACATAAACTCAATAGAAGTTCCTATACACATGCTAAAAGCTTAGCAGAGGTCACCTCATAGGTCTTTTGGGGCCTTAGTAGGCCAAAGTCCTTCAAACGCTTCCACCAGGGTTGTGGGGGGAGCCCTTGGAGAGACTGTCCTGGCTGCTGGTTCAGAAAGAACCTTTCTTCATCTGTTGGTCTCCGAAAAACTATGTTTGGACCAGTATATGCATACCTCCCCAGCAGGCGGCCCCTCGTTGGACATGTTGACAGTTTCAGGGACTTGCCTTAATCACCCCCCATTGCTTTTAGCTCCTGGAGGAGCGGTAGTAACCCTCCCCCTTGGCGTTGCAACACTCCCTGGCCCATAACAATAAATAAACCATTCATAGACTTACTACAATATGGTCCTCAAAGATAGTGCATGCAGTTGCAATATTATTTACACTTGCAAGTACAAAGTATTAAGGCTAGTTGGCAGCACAGCTGGGACTAGAACTCAGATGCTACCAACGCAGGGCGTTAGACACAGATCTTGGGGCTACGTGGCGTTTGGGAAGGCTCTTTCTCCTCTAGCAGCTTTGTCAAAAATTAGAATTTGAAAATCAGCCAACACTGCTGGGAAATGTTTTCTAGGAACATCTCGCCCAGTTCTAATACTGCTGTTTATCCCCAGGACGTTTTCATCTTCTATTGCCAAGTTTGTGCACCTTCCCCATTGAATGCTCAGGATTCGTAAGGGTCAGAACTCAAATAATAGTTGAAATTCATAACATCCATTTCTTATTAATTGCCATCTGAAGTGGTAGCAAAAGCCTGCTCAGCTGTGTACCGATTTAATCTACCATGCTGTATAGGTTTAGCTTTACCTCCCAATTCATATTGGTTATTAATGATGGAAAATTTTTCTTTATCTGTTTTCAGATGAAGAGAGACCCATTTACGACTAGAAACTGAAGCGTCTTAGCCTGAGCATAAATTACACCCGATAGCTAGCAGCTGTAACAGGGAACACGCCTAACATTGATTGGGTGGCGTTTCACGAGCTTTAATATTTCTGTTTGCAAGAATACCTGGTTGGTGCATATTGAGGAAAACCGGTGGGTTGTGATTAAAAAGGGAATATAGGGGTCATGGATATTAAAACTGAGTCAAGACTGAGATTTAATTTGCCACCTTCCCAGCCAAGGCAGCAATTCTGAATGGCATGCGTCAGGTCACCTAGAATTTCCAGAATGCCAGAGTTCCCAGGAGAGCTGGAGGTAATGTCTCAAGGCCATAATAGCATTATCTGCAGATTGCTGTAGAAATGATACAATTTGACTTAAAAAGCTGCTGCTTAGATTGAATGAAAATTTCTGTTCGCTCCTGCAGTTGAAGTGAAAATTGAGGTGGTGCTACCAGAGAAAGAGAGGGCCAAGGAAGAGATGTCACCCAATGGGAAAGCCAGTCCACTTGTTTACAAAGTCAATGGGACTGCCCGGCATTACCACCTCGAAGAACATCCCATCACCATCAACCCCTACCAGAACGTGAAGGATGTAGTGGAAGCCTCCGTGTGCCACGTGAAGGACCTTGAGAATGGACAGTAAGTGTTTAACATTTTTAACAGCCTGAAGGATCCCAGAGGGCTTTATACATGCTACCATATCCTATACCATAACTAAAATGCTGCCACGTGATGCCGGAGCTGAACAGCAAGGCTGCACAAGCCTGTGAAATGTGGCATGTTATGACCCCAATTCATCAAAACACTTGAGCATGTGCTCAACTGTAACTTTGTGCTTAAATTCATCTCCAGTCAGCATGGCATTTAAGCATATGCTTACAGGTACGCATGTATTTAACTGCTTTGCTGAATCAGGGCCTATGTCATGGAAATTGTCGCTTTTTTATCACTAGCTCTTTAGCCTTGACTAATCCGAGATGATTGGACCATCTGTGGCCAGTGTAATTTATCTTTGTAATATGGATATTGTTATCTTCCTCCAGTTTTAATACAATAGAATCTTGTACAAGTGACAACTTGTCTTTAATGTTTTTGGATACTTTAAATTCTTTCATGTTCTGTGCCTGTGGAACTCCTGTTAGGGAGATGGGACACTAATTTCCAATAGACCTTGTCTAGTATCCTTTAGTTGCTTCTTTAATTATTGTAAGTTTATTTGCAAAGTTCTCGACTTAGCATTTTAACAACCTAGTTTAAGTAAAACAAGCATGTGTGGAGTTCATGGAGTAGGTCCCATACCACTTCTACCTTGTCTTGTTTTTCTAGCTGATCTGGTTCCTCATCAATTTGTTCTCTTACAAAGAATGGAATTTTCTGATGTTTTTGTGCTAATGGAAACACACTTTGCATGCAGTTTCACAGTCCTGATTTTTAGTGTAACAATGGACTCTGTTAGGATATCAGACAATAGATCACTGGCACATATTGATGAAAACACATATTCATACCAGAATAAAAAATAACTGATTATGTGGCAACCCAGAGAGGGGGGAAGCCAGATATGTAGGAAGAAGCCCAGGGAAATAACAGCAAGGAGTTGGACTGCCCGGGGACTGTGGCTGCTTGTTATAGGGTCACTGGACTGGAGCCCAGTGTCACGGGTGGGCCTGGGTTCCCCTACCAGCCTCTGGGGAGTGGTAAAGTTGTTGGAGATGCCAGCCAGACAGCAGGTCTGGAAAGACTGCAAATTCCCCAGAAGGGGAGGACTTTAGTGACCTGGCCGGAGGGAGGAAGCTGCAGACCGAGGAGTGAGCAGGGCAGCAGAGTGAGACAAGACAGGAGAAGACAACACTGGAGGTAGAGCATAAACTGGCAGAGCTAATCCCCAGGATGGCCAGCAGTACGTGCTGCAAGCAGTTGAGTGCGCCCCGTGACAATGTCCCTTGATGTCATGTTCCCTTACTTTCGTGGCACCTACAGTCTGGCTTGTAAGTATAAGCCACTTTTGTTTCATCTGGTAGCAAGACCATAGTTTTGGGTCATCTCCCATGAAAGTACTGCCTCCCTCAATCATAAATCTCCCCTTCTTCATCCGCAGCTTCATTGCTGCAGCAGAACAAAACCGTCATGGTAGAGACAGAGAGACATTCCAGGCAGAACGCTGAAAATCAGGTCAAGCGCTTGCACAGGATTCTGTTCAATAGGGACCAGTGCAGAGTGGCCTATTGGAGTGATGCGTTCTTCCTGGTGACCCTCAGCTGCTGAGCCTGAGGCTGCCACATTCTGAACTAACTGGAGCTTCCCCCGGGCATAGGCCTTCATTCCTAGATACAGAGAACTGCAGTATCCGAGTGTAGATGCATGGATCGCCGTGGCCCACTCTGAGTGCGACGGGATCAGGTGCAATATTCTGACCAATTGCAAAGGGAAATGGGAGTGCAGGGTCTCATACCTGTGGACTGCAGTGCAGATGCCTTTGGTGGGAGGGTTATTCCAGGTGCTAACCCTGTCTCACCAGCCTTGCTTCAGTCTGGTCTAGGTTCAGTTTCAGTCCGCTGCCCTCCAGGCAGTCGCCCGTGTCTGCTCGTCACTGAGAAAGTGGAAGATGGGTGCTATTTGCAGTCCATGTGAAGGAGCTGTAGAGCTGGGTTTTCACTGCATGCTGATGGTACTTCAGCCTTCGTTGTTTCAGTCCCAATGGTTTCATCTAGATATTGAATAGGACAGCAAGGGACCACTGCATCGGTACACGCAGCCTGAAAGGGCACCAGCACAGCTGGAGTTGGCTGCACCCGGGCAACAGAAGTCAGGGATGTTTTGTGCTCCCACATTCTGGACTTGCATGGCCCAGTAGAAAAGGGGGAATAGTATCTTTATGGATGTGCTTGTGCGGAGGAGGGAGAATGGAGCTGATTGATTTGGGGACGTTCAGTGCTTGGGGACTGCCATGCAATGGAGTTATGAATGACCTGATGATTCACAGTATGGATTCATATGGGGACATGACTGAGATGTGGATTGCTGTGCCTAACCGTATAGAGGAATAGTGTTTGCTTACTAATTCCTAATTGTTTGTGATCATGTGTTTAGCTTTATTATATCAAATGCTGATTGTATGATGAGAGGCAGTGATAGCAATAAACTTTCTTGATGACATAAAAAGCTCAGTCTATTTAGTTTAACAAAGTAAGGTTAAGGGGTGACTTCATCACGGTTTAAAAGTGCCTGCACAGGGAACAGAAATGTAATAATAAGGGGTTCTTCAGTCTAGCAGAGAAAGGTATAACACGATCCAGGGGCTGGAAACTGAAGCTAGACAAATTCAGACTCAAAATAAGGTGCACATTTTTAACAGAGGTGATGTAACCATTGGAACAACTTGCGGATTCTCCATCGCTGAAAATTTTAAAATGAAGATTGGATGGTTTTCTAAGAAGTCTGCTCTAGTTCAAACAGGAGCTATTCAGAGAAGTCCTATAGTGTGTGTTATGCAGGAGATCAGAAGATGTTAATCTATTACTTCTTTGAGGAATAGCCTGGGCTCTTTCCATGAAGGAGTGGGCTGGAAATGTACACACATGTGGGGCAGAACCAGAGTTGGGTATGGCGTGATTGCATTCTGGGTATTGACTCTTTCACCTCCCTCATTTGCTCAGTTTGTGAGTACAAAGCTATTCTTTCTGTCAGTCCTTTCTGCTCCTCCAGAAGTCGGAGATTAGAACCAAACTGGGCTTATCAGCACCAGTAAAAAACTCTGGAGCCCAAACTCTCCCTCCATGACACCCATGCAAACCCCCAAGCAACTAATGAGAAGGAGTGAGATGGAAAGGAGACAGCCTGATGCTCAGAGCTGAGGAAGTTTTAAAACAACATCTTTTTGCTTAGAAACTGATGTGGGGTCAGTGAGACAAAACAAACAGGGAACACACAGGCAGAGGCTGGTTTTCCAATGGCTTTTTTTCAGGACAGAGCTGCATTTTAACTGGCATTTCCTGGCTTGTGAGTGCAAGCTGGGCAGACATGACAAAACTTAACCCCCCCCCGCCTTTTTTTTTTTTTAAATATGGAATAAAATCTTAATAGCAATGACTCTAAATGAGTAGATTGCTTCATTCAAACAGCCCTCGGTTGTAACTAGCCATCTCGCTCACTTGCGGAATGAGTGTGTCATTTGAAATCTTTTGCACAAGGTTTCTGTATTTGCTTCAAGACATCAGGTGCTGATGATTATCTGTCACAGGTCAAGTGGTTCCTTCGGGTGGCTGTAAACCATTTCTCTTATCTTTTCATAACTCTGAAGTTGTCATTTAACAAGAACTGTGGGTTTGCTCTGAAATAAAATCCATCCGAAGAATGCAGCAAGACTTGTTCCTTTTGCGTGTGGTGAAGCATGAGCCTGCATTGATCTCTTTATTCCATTTGGGGTGTGCTTACTGCAAGGACTAAACAGGTACGGGGGAGGGAGCAGAGCCCGTGCAGCATTCTGCTCAGATAAAACTGCGATATGCCCTTAGCAGTAGCCCATACTGCTGCTTAGGGCCCCATCAGCAAGGTATTTAAGCACATGCCAAAAAGGACTATTCCATTGGGACAATTTTGGGGTAAAGGTAGGCAGGTGCAGAACTGAGGTCTGGCAGGTGCTCCACTCCCCGTGGACCCCAGCAGAGACCTACAGAGCACCGGAGAGGTGGGATTCATGAAGTTATTCAGGCACCTAACTTCCAAAAACAGGTCAGCTAGAATAACTGGGACTTGCAGCATAAAACGAGGAGGCCATGGGGGATTCTGCCACTCCTCTGGGAGGGAGCTTGGCAATCAAGGGCACCTGGCCCAGAGAGATCTGCTAGCTGCCTGGTTCAAACTAGACTGAGAGATGAGACGCAGACCCACCCACCCTGGATGGCAGTTGTCAGGAGTGGACGCAGATTTAGAACCAATTGCCGAAGTATATTTAGCTCATTAAAGGCTTCAATAAAAGGCCTTACCAGAGACACAGGGGCCATGCTGGGCATCTTAAGGATTGGAGAGACTGAAGGTTTTGAATATTCCCCTGTGAACCTTTGTCAAGTCTCGCTGTGGCTGTCTGTGGTGTGGGAAGAGGAGGGGCAATCCAGAAGACGGGTAGGTCTCTTAAGAGAGGGGGAGATTTGGTTCCTATGCTGTCCTATAGGATAAGTTATTGTCAGTCTAGCCCTGTTGGCAGCAGCGGCAGTAAGGGTTTCATAGATTGTTAGGGTTTAAGGTCAAAAGGGACCATTGTGTTAATCTTGTCTGAACTGCATAAAACTGGCCAGGGGGCTCACCCTGTGATTCCTGTGGTTGACTTAAAGCAGAACTTGTAGGTAGAGATCTAATCTTGATCTAAAGATCTCTCTCTCCCCGTGTATGCTGCCATTGAGAGCGGTGAAAGAGTGCCTTCTGCAGTCCCTGGGTTTACATGGAACGATTTGCTAGCAAGTGTTCATTGTAAAGGGCAGGCATTTCGACTTGCTTCCCTCTTAGTCTGCCAAAGCCCAGTTATTCTTCCTGGCATGCCGACGAGGAGGGGGGGGGGGGAAAGCCGGTAAAAATTTCCGGGGCCCAGCGGCCCAGAAGGGGGCCCGGGGCCCGGCTTCCCCCCCCCCCCCGTCGGCCCTGTTTAGCTGGTCCACCCTTGCTGGGGGGCCCAAAAAAATTCCAGGCCCAGCTTCCCCCCCCCCTCTCGTCGGCCCTGTTTAGCTGGTCTGCCCTTGCTGGGGGGCCCAAAAAAATTCCGGGCCCAGCTTCCCCCCCCCCCTCGTCGGCCCTGTTTAGCCAGTCCACCCTTGTTGGGGGGGCCCGAAAAATTTTTTTCACTGGGGCCTGAACCCGCTCTCGGCGGCCCTGGATGCCGCAAAACCCATCTCTTCTCCCAGGTATTTGGGGATGAAGCCGATGGTGAGACACAGTGTTAAGTGGCTTTTATGTTAATGATTGTACAAACTACGGACAGTTCATCTGAAATGATGACACTGATGGATGTATATTTTGCTACCGGAGGATAATGTGGTGCAGAGCTGCCCACCACAATGGAGGGGAGCTGTTTGGTTATAAATAAAGATTCTTCATTTTTATTTTAATTGCAAAAACCTGAATAAACATCACTGCTGCATCCTAAAACATGCAGTTTGGAAACTCCCTCCTGCAAGTGAGAGTGTTTGCTTTGACGGCATCACTAAATATGTTCCCCGTGATCCTGAGGGCACACTGACAGGCCACAGCTGGGCTTCACAAAAAGGGCAACAGCTCACCATACCCGGGAGAATGAGACGAGAGATTCTTGCACCAAAACTCCCTGGAGAGCAGCATTCCGTGTGTAAATGCACTAGTCAGGAATGGAATACCTGCTGCCAATCCACCAGTTCCTTAGCCAGCATAATGCATGCAGCCCTATGGAAGCCAGCAAGGCCAGATCCTCTGCCAGTGTAAAGCAATTGGATCTCATAGTACCAATGGGATCAGACCCTGTGCTGGTGTCAGTCAGCTCAACATTGACCCAGAGTCGTGTTGGATTCTCCTTCACCGGCAACTTTTCAATCAAGATTGGATGTTTTTCTGAAACGTATGCTCTAGTTCAAAGGAATTATTTTAGGGAAGTTCTCTGACCTGTGTACTACAGGAGGTCTTCTGGCCTTGGAATCAATGAACCTCACTGAAAGGGGATTTAGTCTTACTGGCTTCAGTGTAATCAGCACAGTCCCATTGAAGTCAATGGGTTCAAAATGCCAAATGGTGTAAATTGGCCATTGAATTTAATGAAGCTACATCAGTTTATGCCCCCTGAGAACTGGCCCATTTTTTAAAATCAAAAGTGCACATTTAATTGAGGTCACCAGTACCAAAAATGAAACGGATCCATTCCAGATGTTACTGCTACCATAAGTCGATTCAAATGAGAAAGGGAAGATGGGAGGAATTTAGCACCGGAGATTTCTAGAGCCCTGGTTTGATCAGGAGTCCGTCTAAGCTGCGCTGATGGCCGTACTGGCGATCTGTGTCCCCCAGCAATTCAAATCAAGCCAACTGTGTGAAAAATATTGACCTAAGATCTAACACAGATGCTGAATACATTGTTACGCACTTGTTTGTTTGACGTGCGGGGGGGGAATCACGCAGTGGTGATGCATGGTTGGCAAAGCTGTCCTAGTGGCCAGCACAGCAGTGACTGGATCTGCAATGCTGTTTGTAACAGCTACAGAAGGAGTTAGATAATGTCGCCATATGGCCTGAGTTGAAATCCAGTGTCCTCTCCTGCTTCAGCCTTTCAGAAAACCTGTAGATAAGATTGTAAATAGCTATTCTTAGCTTAGTTTAGTTAGTCTTAGTGTAATTAGCGTAGTTCGTTTTCCCGGACTGGGGATTCCCCCCCCGTAGTCGGGGACCATGCCTAGACTCTGAGCTTCAAAAACAGTGTTTCCTGCCCTAAATCCTTCTGTGTCAGCAACAACACGAACGCTGCCTCTACTGTCTGGGGGAGACGCACGGCTTGGGGAAGTGCAGCATTTGTTGCTCGTTTCTACCAAGAACTCTAGGGGAGGGGTTCTGACCTAAAATGTTTGGTCCGTAATCTTGATGGAAGCATTCGGTGAGACGTTTTGCGTAGGCACTAGAAAATATTTTATATTTATTTTTCTTGTAACCATTTCTGACTCTTATGCCTCATGACTTGCACTCACTTGAAACGTATCTCTTTATAGTTAATAAACTTGTTTTATTGTTTAAGCGGAAGTGACAGGGTAACTCTATTTACAGAAGTGAGTTGGTATATTATTCCCTTAAAGGAATAACAGACTTAATATATTTGTACTGTCCAGGAGAGGACAGGACAGTACAGGACATACATTTCTGGGGGACAATCCAGGACTGGGAGTGTGTTGGGGTCACTCCTCAGTATGACCAAGGCTGGTGAGAGCCAGGGTGTGACTGGAAGTCTGCGATTACACAAACGCATCTGGGAGCGACCTGCATGCTGGTGGCTGTTCGTGAGCAGTCCAGGTTGGAGGCTACAGCAGCAAGGCATTGCAAAGCACCCCAGGTCACAGGGCAGGGGTGACACAGCCCACACTGGTTTGGACTGTACTGTTTTTGTGAAATACTGTAAAGGAGGCTTGACATACCAAAGTGTTCCTTCTCCTTCACTCTAAATTTCTACCCAAGGTCGTCTCCAAATTCTACCTTCACCAGTGTGTTTCCTTACCTGTCCTTTTTCTGAAACCCCATGCTTCACATGAAGAGAAGAGACTTCATTCCCTCAACATCAGGTGTGCACTGGCTTTGACCTGCAAAGAACCAAGTCCATCAAAGTCTCCAAGACTTTATTGTGATAGCAGAGAGATCCCGTGATCAGGCTATATCCTTTCAGAGGATTTCTAAGTGGGTTTCTGGCTGCATTATCGAAAGCTGCAGACTAGCTTGCATCCCACCTCAGAGCAATATAATGGTCCACTCCACGGGTCTGCAGGCCCCTACAGTAGCATCCCTGGAGGAGGTCCCAATGCAGGATATATGCAGAGCAGCCACCTGGAGCTCCATATACGTGTTTGCTAGACATTATACATGAGTCCAAGCCAATGCTGTGGATGCAGTAGTGGGATCTGCAGTACTGCACACATCTTTGTTGCCAGCTTCCAGGCACCCATCTCCAATCTGAATATTGTTTGTTAATCTCCCATGTGTGGAATACACACGGGAACCAGCTCTCAAAGAAGAAGTGGAGGTTACTTACTGTCACTGGCGGTTCCTTGAGATGTGTGGTCCCTATCTGCATTCCGCTACCCGCCCTCCATCCCCTCTACTGCAAATCTGATTAGATGCGTGGTAAGGAGAGGAACTGAGTGGGCATCAACCTGCACTGCTTCTTATATCCTTGCTCGAGAGCACGAGGCGATCTACTGCCAAGGGACACAGCTTATTAAAATCTCTGCACTCGGGCCCATGGTGCACATGCGTACTCCTTAGGCATACGCAGCATACACGGCTGCGTAGGGCACCTGGAAATTTGGGGCACCCCTGGGTCTTAGTGTCCACCCCTCCCCTCTTCCTATCCCTGTTCTGACCCTTCCTGCAGGCTCACACCACAGCTGGCTGCTGCAGTGTGGTGAGTCCTCCTCCAGAGGGGACCTAGTACTTAAAAGTGAAAAAGCCTCCAGCCTGCCAGCCCTATTAGCACAACCCTGAAACTGTTAAAGAGCCATTCAAGGGGTAATGAGACCATTTAACAGGCATTCGCCAAGCCCCAGGTATATAAAACCAGTTGTGCATCACTGTCATATTTACTCAGAACATGCCAGGGCCTTAGTTTAAAATTTGCTTTAAAAATCTGTCATTAGTGTGTTGCTGAAGATTATAAAATCACATCTCTAAGAAATCCTTGCATAGGATTTTAGCTGCACAATCTGAGTATTCATCTTTAGCTTTAAATGCTTGGATCTTCAGACATAGAGTTTTTTAAATAAATCCTTCAAAAAAAAAACTTTCTAAAACACACATTCGAGCCCGGGCTGCTGTCGGGCACCAGTTTAATAATACTGCATAGGGCCCCATAAATCCTAAGGATGGCCCTGTGCGTACCCGTGGGCGGAGTACAGCTAGCGGCCACACATCTTGAAGAACTTCCAGTTACAGTACGTAACTGTGCTTATAGCTAAAAAGAAACCACTAGCTACTGTGAAAGCTTGGGACTGGCTCTCTGACATGTGACAGCCCGAGCAGATCAAAAGGCAGTGATAATAAATAATAGTAACAATAATAAATATCTATTCTGTATACTACATCTGTCATGCTTTTTACCTCCAGGATGCGAGAAGTAGACCTGGGTTGTGGGAAGGCTCTGCTGATAAAGGAAAATGGAGACTACTATGCAATGGGACATAAATGCCCTCACTACGGAGCCCCACTGGTGAAAGGTTAGTCTTGGTGTAAGGGTATGAACATGAATCAGACATTCACAACAGATGATGGATCTGCATGAAGAATCTGAGCCATTGGTATCATTCACCACATTGCAGAATGTTCAGGTCTGTAGAGACGTCCTGCCTGTGAGGTAACATACACTTATAATCCAGGAAAGGGATCAAAATCCTCGGCCGAGCACTCTGTCCATGTTTGGTTTGCTAACAGATCTCGTGTAGCCTGTGCAGTGTATCTCAGAGTGAAATCTCTTAAAATGCTGTTTGAAGAATAGAAAGGGGATCTTTCTGCCAGTCCGAGTTGGCAGCAACAAGGGCCAGGTTCAGTATCTAGGGGTTCCTTTTCAACACTACATCATGAAACCGGCTTGTGCCCACCACCCTTGGGTGCTTCTAAGAGGCAATACTTCCCCTCTCGCAAGCACGGAGTCTGAGTGTAGCAAAGAAACTTTTAATAAAAGGAGGGACGTAACCCAGCATTAAATTGGGAAAACACCACAAACAGGTTCATAAACATAAACCATGAGCAAAAGACCCACCCCCAAGTAAGTTGGACAGTGTCCTTTTCCCCTCAGGTTCTTAAGTCCAGCAACCAAAACGTGCCCATCCCTTCTCTGCAGCCCACTCACAGTTGTTATCCTTGGTCAGGGCAGACCCGGGATTCAGAGGTGCATCTGCAGATTTCACCTCCCACCCTGGGGCGGTGGGGGAGTAAGAAGGCACCTTACTCGCTCCGCTGCCCAGCGGATTGGCGCTCCGCTTCTCTCCACCGGCTGCCCTGCTGGCCGATCGCCACGCCTCTCCGCCAGGTTCCGCTCACCGCCCTGCTGGCCGATCGCAGTGCCTCTCCACTGGCCTCCCTGCCAGCCGATCATCGATCCGCTGGGATGTCTTCAGGTCTCACCTCTTAACACAGGGGCCTGAGACTTTCACCCAGTGATTCCTGCAGCGGAGGGGAACTATTCTTCTCTACGACAGAGCATTTAGAAATTCCATCCTCTATGCGGATGGCTCTGCTGTGGTCCTGCTTCTTACCTGGAAGCCATAGCTCTTCACACACACACACACACACACA